CGCCTCCTGGCTCATCTTGTCAGGCTTCAATGTGAACCACCTGGACATCGCCCCGCGCTATGCCAGCATCCTCATGGGCATCTCCAACGGCGTGGGCACGCTGTCGGGCATGGTGTGCCCCATCATCGTGGGCGCCATGACCAAGCACAAGGTGGGTGCCTTCGCCCTGACCCATTGGCCCTCCACCTCTGTGCTCGGTGCCTCCCTGATGCGGGCGGCCTCCCTGGGCTCCACCCCTGCCGCCTGCAGGTGTCTTTCAGCTTCTCTCTGGATCTGTCTCCCTTTCTCTGGGCCTCCCCTATCCCTCTAGGGCTCTCTCTCTTAAATATATTTTTATTTATTTTTCAGAGAGGGAGAGAGAGATAGAAACATCAATGATGAGAGAGAATCATTGATCAGCTGCCTCCTGCACGCCCCCCACTGGGGATCGAGCCCACAACCCAGGCACGTGCCCATGGCCAGAATCGAACCTGGGACCCTTCAGTCCGCAGGCCGACGCTCTATCCACTGAGCTAAAACTCTCCCTTCACTTCTTGTTTCTCTGGCCTCCAACAGACTCGGGAGGAGTGGCAGTACGTGTTCCTAATCGCCTCGCTGGTGCACTATGGAGGGGTCATCTTCTATGGGATCTTCGCTTCCGGAGAGAAGCAGCCGTGGGCGGAGCCTGAGGAGATGAGCGAGGAGAAGTGTGGCTTTGTTGGCCACGACCAGCTGGCCGGCAGTGATGAAAGCGAAATGGAGGATGAGGCTGAGCCCCCTGGGGCACCCCCTGCTCCCCCTCCCTCCTATGGGGCCATACACAGCACAGTGCTGCCCCCAAGACCCCCACCCCCTGTCCGGGGCTACTGACCATGTGCCTCCCACTGGATGGCAGTTTCCAGAACCTCCATTCCACACATCTCTGGCCTGAGTGACAGTGTCAAGGACCCCCAGTCCTCTCTGTCCTGCCTCAGGCCTAAGAAGCACTCTCCCTTGCTCCCAGTGCTGTCGAATCCTCTTCCTTTCCCAATTGCCTCTCAGGGTAGTGAAGCTGCGAATGGCAGTTTCAAGGATACCCAGATTCCCCTAAGGGTTCCCTTCTCCACTTGTTTTGCCTCAGTGGTTCCAAACCTCTCCTTTCAGGGCTTTATTTCCATGGACAGTTCGGTCTCTCACTCTCTCTTGTGGTTTTGAGGCAACTTCTCCCCTTCCTTTAACCCCAGGGACCCTGAGTTACTCAGCCCCCCCCTCTTCTCTCAGAAAAATTCAAGGTCTTCCTCTAGAGGTTTCAAATCTCTCCTAAATCTATTCTGCATTTTTTTTTTCAGGTTGGTTTAGCCAATCACCCATCCCCACTATTTTAGAGATCAATTCTCACCAGCGTTTCTGAGGGAAAATGGTGGTTTCAAGACCCCCTCCAATCTCTTCACCCCTCCCTCCCCTCCACCAGCAGATTCTGCTGAACACACCAAATCCCCAAGACCTTCTCCCTAGCTTAGCGCAATGTCTAGGGACACCACCCAGACCGCAGGTCTATCGGTACGCCTCACTCCACCCCTATGCACTTTTTCGGACACAGTTTTCAGGGTTAAACAGTGGCTGCTCAAGTTCATCCGTGGTTTGAAGCCACCACCATTGAACTTCCCCACGGTGGTTTCAACATGTCCCCCTCCCCCCCAGCTCCTTGCACTTTATTCTCCTGGGTGGTTGCAAACCACCCTCGTTTTCTCAGTGGCCATTTCTCGTGTCCCTCAGGGGCTAAATGACTCAAATTCGGGGATGCTACCCTCTCAGACACCTTTCTTTTGGCTTAGAATTTGGGGAACACGTATAAGAGAAGTCACAGAACCCCAGGAAAGGGAAGGGGGCTGGGGCGAGAGGTGTTTTCCCCGGGGCAGGGTGCCTCTGTGTGTGTCTGTCTCTGTGACTGTAAACCCTGCCCTGCCCCACTCCCAATAAAGTGCTTTGGTGGACACACCCAGGCCTCCTCATTGGGCCAGTGGCCGTGGGAGGCCCAGCCCCCAGCCCTCCCCTCCTGCAGACCCGGTGTTCGAGGGCCCTCCTCCCCCCGGAATCAGGCCAGAGCAGGTGGCTGGGAGGGAGGGATCGCGTGATTTATTGGGCCTCGGCGAGGGCATCTCTGCGGTGGGCTCTATCTGAGGGCACCGCTACCGAGCAAAGCATGCCGGGAGGGTAGGATGCCTGAGGATGGCGCTCCTCTGGAGGGGCCGGGAGGGGCTCACACGAAGTTGTCCCGGAGTGTGGCCGGGGAGAGCGGCTCCAGGCGCTGGGAGCGGCCCCCGCGGGGCGGCGGGGGCAGCTTGGGCGGCAGCGGAGGAGTCGGCGGCGGCTGCTTGGTGGCGATGTGTGAAGGGATCCAGGCATCCGGCGCGTAAAAGTAGAGATCGTACGGCTCCTTGGGAGTGTCCAGGTGCAGGACTATGGGAGCAGAGGGGCGCGGTCATCCCAGGGCTGAGCAGGAGCCTGCCCCCTCCGCTGGGCCGCTGGCCAGAGAGGCTGCTGACCGTCCTTAGCAGCTGGGTTTTCAAATCAAAGGGCGAGGGGAGGGCGCCTGTGTAGACGAGGGGGCGTGGTGTCCGCGC